GGCCACTGCAAATATAAGTGCGAATATAACTACATTTGTGTTGAACTCATTCATTTTTTCCCCCTTTTGGCTTTGAAAATAGGTTCCCATGACGTGTTTTTATACTATATACCGATTTTATTCCCCTTATTTCTTTATTTATTCGAAGACAGATTACAAATAGCGTCCCATAGAATAACTGAGAATATGAGTAGAAATCTATTTAGGCAAAAAGTTACATTTCAACAGTAACTGCAGCAGATGGAAAGCAGTTTCAAAAATATATAAGTTAATCCTGGCTTTTAATGTCAGCTTATTTGAAATAACGGGACCAGGCCAGTAACAAACACACTCAGGAGCTACTAGTGTTGGAACGCGGCCGCGTCACCCTGTCGCCATGGAAACAGCGTAACCTAGCAGTTAGCTCGTTGCTCTGTTTGTATTTCTCTGCGTTTTCTCAGTAATTCGGCTCAGAAAAAAACCTTTTGGCCTCAAGAAATGCTCAGGTTTGTATAAACCCCGGTCACAGTAGACGTAGGCTCTAATAACGTTCAACTAAAGCTGCCGTTTGTCACTATCAGCTGTTATTATTAAGTCCTGCTAACTTCCGTTAGCAGTGCGAACTTTAACCATATTTATTTTGGTTTCCTGTCAAGGAGTCTATCTAACTAAAAAAGCCTGAATTAGAATGATATTATTGTTTAACTATAAACGATATTCTTTGACATAATATTACCCCCTGAGAATAACATCTGTATTCTAATAAACAGTGGCGGACTTAGGTATTTCAGGGCCCTGGGCGAGTTTTAGTCAGGGGGCCTTCCTCCTGAGTGTGAGAGATGCTGTGGAGCTCTCACAGTGTTCAAAGAGCAGCTTGACTGTAGTATTTACTGTAGCCAATCTTCTGGCCTCAACAGCTGACGAATTAGATGTAGATAAATCAGCAATCAAAACCAAATATACATGTTGGTCTGAAGGTAGCTGTCATTCAATGGACATGCAGCCTTAACGGTTGCATTGCCGAATTCTCCCAAGTGGTGCTCGACTTTACGCGAGGGAATAAAGTGAATGTGATTGGTCGTTTATTAAGGGGACTGGATTTTGTAGTGGAAGGTTTACAAGCAATTTTGTTTGTGGATGGTCTCTCGGAAGCATCTTGCTAACCAGTTAGCATCTTAGTACTAGTAGGTTCCCAATGGGAAATTACACTGTGACCAAGTAGCACTTAGAAACGACACTGTCAAGGAACGCTATGGACAGCAGAAACATGCAAGAGGAGGAGAGTTTTGTGTCGGAGGTCATGGATGAGTCTCCTCCATCATACATTTTTTATTTAGAGGAGAAAAGTGGGGATGAAGATGTTGTGGAAAATAAATCATGGGTCCATGTCAGCAACAATGCTGCACTAAATAGGAGGCGCAGCTTTTAGCTGCTTCAAGGAAGGGATGAAGAACTTGAAATATCCCTCTACCCCCCTACTTTTCTTATAAAAATTGATAGAGAAAAATATTCATATTTGTTTCAGCAACGAAAAAAATAATTGTTTTCTTTTTCTTCCCATTCACTGTCAGGTTATGCTGGAGCAGGCAGCCTTCATATAAAATAAATTGAAACTAATCTAAATTCATTTTTTATAAAAATATTTAAATTTTATCTAATATTAGATCTGACATTAGTTTTCTTTTGTAAGATTTGGGTGTGTTCAGAAAACTTACAGTGTTTAATCCAATATTGGTGAGCTAATGTATAAATACATATTTATTTTTTATTTCCTGACTTTTCAACTCTGTTTTCATAGCTCTACTTCATCTCTCTCTCCTCTGATCTGTCTGGTCCAGACTGTGTGTCTGGATGTTTTACTGTTTTTGCCACAGTTTAGATGCTAAGTCCTAATTAATTAATTTCAAACATGCATAAATATCCCAGCCAGCAGGGTCCCTCACAGGTGGGGCCCCAGGCGCTTGCCTACTTTGGCTGTATGGTAAGTCTGTCACTGCTAATTAAGCTTTTGACTAAATAGATTTTTTTCATTTAAAGTAGAAATATTAAGGAAAAAAACTATTCACACAAAATCAATACTTATATAGACTATTTTGTATCGTTTGATAAAAAATAGATCCTGAACCCACCGGTAAGATGGATTCAGAGGGAAATCATTACGTTTAGGAAGACATGTTGGGTTTGATGCCTTCATCCAATAAGTTAAAGCATCTTGGCTCAGATATTAATTAAAATCTTTTGGTATTTGCCTGTCAGCAGGATGAAAAAACTGGAGAAGACCTTTGCTGAGGAACAGCTAACTGATGAACCGTTCATGTCCAGGTATGAAATAGTGCTGTGAATCCAGACTACATTTCATCAGAAGAAGGTTATTGATCTCAGAGTTAAACCCATGAAATCAGTGGCTTTATTATGAGCTGTTTTATATGTGGTTTGATTTCAAAGTTAGACTCTGCTCCTCCTGATTTTCTTCTAGGACCCTAAAATAACATTAATTTGTGACTTTGAAATGTGTAATATGAAGTAAAGTCCATCTAAAACAACTGAGTTTTTATAGCTACAGCTATCAAAGCTGATTGATAAAGCCAGGAAGATCTGTCTGATGAAAGCAAACATGCAGGAAGTTATATATCTATGTAAAAGTCCCACAGCTCCAAACTAAAATCTGTCTTCTAACTCGTGAGGAAAGCAGGAGTTCTCCAGTTTATACTGTTTTTACAATAATCCGTGACCAAAGGGAAAATGGTTTTGAATGAACCTGGACTTTTATAGCCACTTTTGTTACCCTGCAATGCCCCATACCCGTCTAAGTGTTGGAAAGGGGGGTCGTTAAAGAGGATTGTTTGCCTGGCTGAATAGATGAGGTCTTCTGCTCTCCTGTACAGGGGGCGTGGCCTGCGATGATAGCGGGAATGGATTAACTCACTTGCTGCATTGTAGGTTTTTGAAAGCTGAAACCGGAAGCAAAAAGACCTTCATTGCAAAGGGGAAGACCCCTTCGTCTGTTCAAATTTGCACGTTTTCAAGACAAAAACAAGACTTTATTGGGCTACTTTATAAAACCTTCACCAGCATATCTTCGTCATGCTGACAGAAAAATCACAAGTTAGGAAAAAGAAAAAAATATGTCTTTAATCATAATAATAAAAGGGAACGTCCTCTTGGTTATAGTTTAATTTTACTTTTTAACAGAGACGTAGCCAGAAATTTTTATAAGTGTGGCCGGGCAATAACCAATGTAGACTGAGGGGTGGCTGAAAGTGGATCGGCACCAGAACCTCAGGGTCAATCTACACTGTTCCAAAAGGGAAATTAATGAGCAAAACATCCCTATTTTCTAAACAAAGACAAACTATATTTTCCCACAGCCTTTGCTAACAATTAGACAAATATATTCAAACATCTGTGATTTCTAAATAAAAGGTATAGTGAATAAAATTCTTTCTGGTTTGAGTTTTGGGCGAACATGTTTTCCATTGTCATTACTTACCTACTTTTATCAATAATCGTTATGCATAAATTTATATTTAAAAGTACTAATATCTACAGAAATTGATTATTTAATATGTTTTTATTAAAATATTTATTTACCTATGATTTCACTGAAGACTCCTAGATGACTTTTCTCTTTACCCCATAAAACACTAAATCTATTTCTGCTTGAATTCTGTACTTATTATCTTTAATGTTAGTAAATAGATGTGCATAATTAATCACGTGTTTTTGTTGTCA